ATTTTTTCAAAAATACAATCAATTAGCTTTAAAGTTATATAAAATTTAGATACATCTACATAACGATAGCTCGAAAATTTCCATTTTTTTGTATGCTTTATACATGTACTTGTATATAATTTTGGTCCAAGATACTGTACATGTATTGCGTATTTGATATCAGCTACACAAATTCGAGATAAATGTATCTTGATTTGTACCCAGGAATATAAATTGAACATGTTTTAAGTTGGGGATACATAGTGCAAATTGTGTGATCATTTATCTTTTTTGAATACATGTACCAGTCATATTCCTCTATAATCACAAAGTGGAAACATCATACTTTTATACAGAGATATTTTTCTATAAGCTTACTATTACATGTAGATGGTTCCCAGCATAGGTGTGATTATTTATATGATGATAGATGGTATGATTACAGAGAGGGTTGACTGTATTAGATAAGGCTTTATACATGTATATCGATATAGTTCCAGTAATACGTACAAAGGTGGGTATCGGTACGGTATTACCTATACATGTATACGGTACTTTGCAGATCATCACCAGGTCAAAAGTTTTGCTCCAGATGTTAGATAGCGATAGCGATGTTTATGTCTAATTATAGTTTACCACGAAGCCACATGATTAAGATAATCAAGCTTTTTACATTGAGTATTTTGATTCAATATAAAATGAACATTTACTATTAAAACGATTTAATACAAATAATAACGATTTAATACAAAATAACTAATTGAATATTTAATACAAAATAAAAAATTGAAATACATTAAAAATATGCTTGAATAAACGAATTGACTTCATTTTCTACTAAAATCCACCGTCATAAGGACCGGGTCCAGCATAAGGACCGGGTCCATAAGGACCGGGTCCAGCATAGGGACCGGTTCCACCAATAGGAAACAAACGAGGAGGATATATAGCAGCCGGTAACGGGGTGGCTTTAGTAGTTAACGAATAAAACGCGCGAGCATAGCCAGGAAGAGAACGAGAATGATTGGATGTAATGATTTTGCCATATTATATAAGATATATGATTTGACTTTGAAGTAACCATGTGTTTATTGCTTTAATTGTAAAAAGTAAAAAGTTAGCAGTGAGGAAACATCGTATATTTATATTGAATTTACATTAATTATATTTATCGTTATGTTATCCTCGAATTTCTCGATTAGATTGATAGAAGATCAATGATTGTGCATCTGATAACTAAAAAATAATCGATTTTATAACTACGTACAAGGCGAAGTTAGAAAATTTCATTGCATTATTTTAAGCGTCGATTCTGTGCACCAAGAAATTTGTGCATCTGATAACTGAAAAACAAAGCAAAGTTAGAAAATTTTATTCCTCATTTTATACACCAGTGAAAGTAAGAAAATTTGTGCATCTGATAACTAAAAACAAAGCGAGGTTAGAAAATTTCATTGCTCTATTTTAAATGTCGATTTTGTGCACCAGGCAAAGTTAAGAAAATTTGTGCATTGGATAACTAAAAACAAAGCGAAATCAGAAAATTTCATTGCGCTGTTTTAAGAAAGTTTGCGCATCTGATAATTAAAAACAATCGATTTTGTGCACCAGGCGAAGTTAAGAAAATTTGTGCATCTGATAACTAAAAATTAGAAAATTTCATTGCTCTATTCTAAGTGTCGATTTTGTGCACCAGTGAAGTTAAGAAAATTTGTGCATTTGATAACTAAAAACAAAGCGAAGTTAGAAAATTTCATTGCTCTGTTTTAAGGAAGTTTGTGCATCTGATAATTAAAAAACAATCAATTTTGTGCACCAAGCGATAACTGAAAAACAAAGCAAAGTTAGAAAATTTTATTGCTCTGTTTTAAGTGTCGATTTTGTGCACTGGGCGAAATTAAGAAAATTAGTGCATCTGATAATTAAAAAACAAGGCAAAGTTAGAAATTTTCATTGCTCTATTTTAAGCGTGCCAATTACCCAATAAAAAATTTTTGTTGATAATAAAATCCAATCATTTTATAGTTTTAATAACGATGATATTCTAATTGATAATACAAATTCGGATTATAATAATTGTGAACCCAAAAGATGCTTTTGAGATTGTTGAAGAACAAGAAAATGTTAATAATTTACAGTGGACAGTTGAAGAGAGTAATACTTCACGGAACTAGAAAAAATAAAAACTGATTGGAAAAAATTCCTAAAACCAAAGAGAATGTTTTAATGGTTAGAAGGTTAATTTCAATTAACCAAGAAAAAGTATCTAAAATTTATTAAAAACTAGTCGAAAATTATAACCTGTGGGAAAGAATAGAATGAAAGTGAAGTCAAATTATTCGGTATCTCATGCCGTTTCTTTTATCGATAACTGGCTGATAACCGTAGTATTTCAAGTTTTCTCAATCTTTATGCACTCCCTCGTCCTCAGGCTCTTTTTGGTGAAGTTGCTGGACGAAATCTTTGACTGTGTTAGTGTCACTGAACTGATAAGCATTAAAGTAGAATTCAATTAAATAAAAGCATCACTCTTACGTAATCTCGTCGTGATATACACTCCCCTGACAAAAATCACCAGTCAATGATCAAATTTATTAATAAAAATTAAAATTTTTAATTTTAATAATAAATATTTTTTATTTTTATATTAAAATGTAGATAATAACTTGTAGTTTAATATATTTTTATTAAAAAATTTGACCATTGGCTGGTGATTTTTATCAGGGGAGTGTACATCAAAAAAATAAATAGCTTTCCTATAAGAACCACTGCAAAACTAACGTAAAGTGTTTGTTATTATAATTCTTGATAATAATATTTGTTAATCCAGAATGAAATTAGAAAACGTAGTTATCTAATTTAATACTTAAATATTGGAATTCTGCAATTAATATTAATTAATAATATTATTGTAAATACTAAAAACATTATTTCCTATATGTGAAAATCCAAAAATTGTTCTCTTTAATTTAGTACATATTCAGTATATAAAGCTGATCTTGACACAGTTTTTATTAATAGTTTTGTCCAATAGATTTCATTCATTAATAGTGATCTAAAATTATTTATATTTTATGTTAATATATAGTGAACAGAAATTATTTGAATAATCTAAACTATAAAAATATTTTTAGAGAATTTTTATATCTATTAATATAAAAAATATTGTAAAACTAAAATTATAAACATAATATTTGTTCCTTCAAAAAGATTTAGAAAGTTATCTTTATATATATAACAATGAATATCATACAAATTCTGACAATCACAATTTTAATATATTATTATTAACAAATGATATTCTGAAAATTCAATATTATGAAAACTCAATATTCTAAAAATTCAATATTCTAAAAATTCAATCTCTTAAAAATTTAATATTTTAACAATTTAATATTTTAATAATTTAATATTTCAAAAATTCAATATTCTGAAAATTTAATATTCTAATAGTTCAAAATTCTAAAAATTTAATATATATAAAAAAACAAGTATAAAAATAAGAATTACTAAAAAATAAAATTATTGTTTATTAAATATTATTTTTATAATTAATAATAATTATAATTTTATAATAACTAATATTAATTATTATTATTATTATTATTTTATTACAAATTTATTTATATTTATTTTTTATTATATATTGTTATAAGTTTGTTACTAATTATTAAATTAGCTTACAAACTTGAATCTGAATTGGAAGAGAGTAATAGATTGATAAAAATATTAAAAGAAAAAGAAAAAATATCTAAGTTCTATATCAATTTCTATGGAAATTATATTTACTTAAAAAAATAATAATATGAAAAAGTTATAGAAGAGTAAAGGTCAAAGAAGAGAGAGTGTATAAAAAAAATAATAAAAAGAATT